GAATTGCAGCATTTGGAAGGTTGACAACCACTGCTCTAGAGGCTACTAACTTGGACTGCCTTAAGGGCTTTAGAACTGAATCATTCAAGGTGAAATTTCTATTTTTTACAGAGAGACTGAAAAGAAAATCTAATTTAAACTCTAGTTTTGCCTGGTGTGTGTGTGTGTGTGTGTGTGTGTGTGTGTGTGTGTGTGTGTAACAAGTGTGTAGAGGGGGTCAGAGGACAGCTGTCTTCCCTCCATGTGTGTTTCGGGTATAGAACTCAGGTCATCAGGCTTGGCAGCAAGTCCCTTTACCAGTCATGCCATCTCGTCAACCCTTCCCTTTACTCTGTTCTTAAATTAGCTGTTCCCACAAACAGAGTGACATGAGTGCTGCCCACGCCCTCATTTCGTGGTATGGGGAGCACGCAGGGGCATCTTCAGGCAACTTTGCAACATGTTTCAAATATACTTGAGGTCTTAAAATGAATATTTGAGCTCATGAATTCTAGGAATTGTGGCAGGAGATAACACCATCAGCAAATACTTTCCATTTTTCCTCAGTTTTGGATTCTCATGAAAGTTGCAATTAAAATGATAGCATAATTGTTTGGGTTTGTTTGGGCCCTCTTGATTTTCTTTGGGCATTTATCAAGTAGTGTATGGGTTCATTGCTTCTGTTGAAATGGCCTAAGAAGACCAATGCCATCTTTATTTTTAAAACTCATGGGATAAGGCCATTCAAGCCACTTCAACAAGGCATTCTGGAAATTTTCAATCTCATACTTCTCTGTAACATAATAAATAAATGCCATTTTTATTTAATCTTAGAGTTATTAATCCTGACTTTCTTTTCTGGACTGCTCAATAGAAAAATGTCTTATAGCTCTTTGAACATTAGATCAGAAAGAAAATGCTACAGTTTGCTTAATTACATGCTGAAGAGGTGGTACCAACTTTCATGATTAACCGAAACATGCATATTTGATTGATGTATATTTATATGACAGCACATGAAAATTTTATCATGGTAGACAAGCTGTTCATTTTGGGAATGTTATTTAATGCTCTAAACATTTTGCCTTTGTTGCTACATTGTTCATTATGAAAAATATACAGGCTAATTGCTGTAACATAAGCTGTAATATAAGCCTGTCATATGAGTCTTGTGATATAATCCCAAGTCTCTAATGGCGCAGACTTTTAGCCTACATAAAAGATAGGAAATAAGATTTTATCTAGTTTGAAGACCTTTGAAAAGATAAAACATTAAAAAACAGATCCACTTAGGAAAAAGTTAAGTTGCCAAGCCTCCTAGCTCGCCAAGGTAAAGCACACACGCTGTTATCAGAAGTTAGTTTCCTTTCTGTTGCTGTGTTGAAACTGTCTGACCAAAAACAAATTGGGAAAGAGAGGGTTTGCTTGGTTTATACTTCTAGGTCACAGGCAGTCACTGAGGGGAGTCAGTGTGGGAGCTCAAGACAGGGGCACAAGCTATGGAAGAAAACTGCTTGTTGGCTCATTCTCGGGGACTGCCCACAGTGGGCTGAGCCCTCCTACATCAATTAAGGATCATGATAATTCTGTACAGACATGCCCACAGGCCAATCTGATCCAGGTAAATCCTCAACTGAGGTTCGCTCCCTCCCCACCCCAGTGACTCTAGGTTGTGTCAATAAAACAATAAAAGCTAACCAGCACAGCACACTCCAACGTTAAAAAAAATTAATTGAAGCACATTTTGACTGTAATTTCTTAGGAAAAGTTTGCTTTTTAGGGGCAGTCATTCTCTAAGACATTGTATCTGGTAACAGAATCTGAGCTGTGTTTGACTGACAAAATTCATTTAATGACCACAATTCCTTAATTTCTGAAGTGTGGCATTAATTAGCTGTTATAAGACTGGAATATCTGTTGTATCTGAAATTTTTTTTTTGTGAACTGTTGGAATAACCCACTTCTCAGACTCATCTTTGGGTCATTGGCTGTTGAGAACTTTGATGACAGAATAGAAGATGTCTGCTGGGCCTCTCCCAGAGCCTTTGCTGCAAGAAGCAGAATGGACCGGAATACTGGGTTATTTAACAGGACAGATGCTAACTACCATTCTATAACTCTTGTCAATGCAGAAACAAAAATGCACAATTCCTTTGTCTTATCTCCCACATTTTAACTTTCTAGCAAGAATATTTTATGAGCCTAATGTGTTTTAAAATTTTATGCTTTTATTTGTTAGGTTCTGTTGTAAGAAAAAGTCCTTGCCACTCTTTAGAACATGATAAGTGGGCCTCTCTGGTGACCTGAGATGCCCTTTGATGCTATACATGTACCTCCTCAGGGCCAGGCCACTGTGGTGGGCTAAGCACAGGCTTTTTTTTTCCCCAAGGCAGGGTTTCTCTGTAGCTTTGGACCCTGTCCTGGAAATCACTCTGTGTAGACCAAACTGGCCTTGAACTCACAGAGATCTGCCTGTCTCTGCTTCCTGAGTGCTGGGATTAAAGGTGTGGGCCACCGCTGCTGGGCTAGCATGACCTTTCCGAGTCTCTGCCTTCATCGTAGCTGCCAGAGCCAGGACTTTAAAACTCATGTATTCTTTTTTAAACCAGACTATTTAAAGGAAGAAATGTTGAGGGAAAATGAATGTTGTTGAATGGTTTCTTGGGAAATGGGTCCTGGTTAAACTGTGAGACCAAATAACTTCCTTCATGACATTGTTTTCCTTACAGATTTCACCAGAACCAAGACCATTGTCACTGGGTCATTTGTGAGAACTCTGCAGTGTCATCTTCTTTTTCAGGAACTTACGATTTTAAGGCATTGTATCAGTTGGGATATAGGAATTATTAGTGCTAATTAGTTTGTTAGTGATGAGTGATAGTTAAACTATTACTAATCCGAGAGCATATTTTACCTATGGTCACTCCGACAGCTTTTGCTAACCTTTCATGTCATGTGAAGTATCTATTTGTAGAAAGGTGTCAGACAGAAATCACATGAAACAGAGATAAAAGCTTCCTGAACGGAACACATTTATCAATGTGGTAATTATGTTACATTTGAATTCACACTGTGACTTTATTTAAAGGATGTTATGTTATCAAAAGTGTTTACTAACATCAAAGATCCTCTTTTATACTGTCTTGTTTGATAATGAGCCATAGTTTCTGATATGTGATTTGAGAAATAGTACAAGTTATTCAAATGACAATGTTTATTCTTTTACAGTAGATAAAGGGCTGCAGGTGGCTCTGAGTGGATACTTGGGGAGAAAAGCCATGTCACCGCGCTACAAATTAGTTTGTTTCTAATTTTGCAGGCTGATGACCACAGTGCCTCAAACAAAATCTTTTCCCTGGAAATGGAATGATTGTATGACAGACTCTATGAACCCTGAATATGTCAACAACTCATGGATCAGGCCTTGCTTAGCAATTAGTCTTTGGGGGATTTTACTCAGAAATCAGACACACTACACTAGAACTTGTTGGGGATTTTGTGATTCCCATTCATGACTGAATTATGAATCTGGGTTAGTACAAAACAGATTCTCTAAAGAAGGACTGCACACACATACACACACACTTATACACATATATGCACACACACACTAATACACATACATGCACACACACTTATACACATACATGCACACACACACACACTAATACACATACATGCACATACACCATACACAAAGACACTCAGACATGCACACTCAGGCATGCACATGATACACACATTTATACACATATAGACATATACACACATGCACACAGACATTCAGATATGCATACACACAAACACACATACACACATTCAGTTGTGAGGACAGAGAACACTATTAAAATACAGTGAAATCTCCCAGGAGGCTGCCAGGAAATATTTTGAAAACATTTCTAAAGTCTTTTATTTCCCTAAAAGAGATCAATATTCCCAAGTTTTCAGTCATTTGAGTGTCACCAATCCCATCCTACTGTAGTTTCTTATTATCTGCATTGTGGTTTACTCAGTATGTTTAATTTAATTCATTCTTTTTGCTCTCTTTAACAGCCCATCTGTCTTAAGCAATAATGGATGTGACAGTCATGGTAGCTTATGCTAGTTAAGTTTCTCTTCTCCTATAAAGGAAATGAAATGTAGCGCTTTAAATATTAAAAATATTTGCATACCATTTAGAACCCATCTGAGCACCTTGTTGACATGGTTGAGGGGTCCTCTGAGAGCTTAGAGGACCCCTCCCTCTCCAGTCTGCCTGAGAATACTCTGACACGCTCATTACCACCCCTTCATCCAGGGCTCAGAAGCTACATCAAATGAAGCCACATTAAAACAGGCCCATGTTTGCCTGAGGTCACCAGTGCCAGAAGGCTCATTGTTACCAGGCCTTCCCACTGCCAGTAGCCAGAATTTGGCCATTCACAGCCTTTCCTTTTTTGATTAAATACCTGACTTGGGAGTCTTATTGAGATAGTAAACAGCAGCACCATTCACTTACCTATGGTGGGAGCATGGGTAGTGTTGCTGGCCCCTGACGGTCAACAGTTCACATGAGGGCATTGCATGCACACACAGGTTTGCATGCACACACAGGTTTGCATGACACACGCAGGTTTGCATGGCACGGATCTCCCCACCTAATGTTCATTTTGAAGGCTTTCTGCAGGACCTTTAATAAATGGGCAGTTTAGTTTACAAGCTTCTTTCATTTATCACTATGCTGGCTTGACTAGGCACTTTGAGAGGAGGCTAAGAAGTTCTGGAACTCTTATAACTTTGTAATCACGCTCTGGCTTCTAAGTACAATGCCTTTGGAAACACTAGCGCCCACATGCCCCCGAGGAGAAAAACAAACAAATGCACCCTCTGCTCCACCCCTGTTCCCTAAGACTAGCCATCAGAAAATGGTGAGGTTTGGAAATTGCAAGCGGGCCCTGGGAGCTCTGTCGGGGTCAGGGTGTGTCTAAATATGAAGGATGTTTGCTTCTGATATGAACATTTTTCTTATACTTTTATTATAGAAGATGATGTGTCAAATGTACAAATAATGTGTGCCTGGTGCCAGAAAGTGGGAATCAAGCGCTATTCCCTGAGTATGGGAAGTGAGGTGAAAAGCTTCTGCAGCGAGAAGTGCTTTGCGGCCTGCCGGAGAGCCTACTTCAAAAGAAACAAGGTAAGCCACCCGAGTGAGGCCGCTGGCCGCCTCTCTTGCGCATGCGCCTCCTAGCCCTAGCGGACACTGTGGCCCTGCCCTTTGCGTATTTTGATTTTGTTTTCCCTGTTTATTCCTGTCACGCTTAACTTTTTGGAATAAGAAACCCCATCCTAACGTAGCTTGTCCATCAGTTTCTCTTGGCTTGGTGTTTGAGTTCTGAGAGGGTGAGTGAATCTGAGGAAGTCCCAGCTGCTATCCCAACCGGAGGTGGCTTCCCAACAGTCAGAGGGTACAGTCCAGAGCCCCCCAGAGAAAAAGTGACAGGTTCCTCAGGAGAGAGGCATTAGCTGTAGAGGCTTTAGTATACCCGTGTAGTGGGAATGTGGCTGCTGCTTTCCCGAAACCTGATTCACAGTCTAGTCAAGACAAAATCTGTCAACCCTCCCTCGACACACGGAATTAAAGTTGATTGATCTCGACAAGAGGGGCAATGATGAATAGCTCTCTCTGAGAGTGTGGTGGATAAACACAGGAAGAGCCGTAGTTACAGTTTCCACTTCGTTTCGTTTTAAAAGACAGTTTAGGTCTGAAAATGGCCTTTTAGGATAGTATTAGCCACTCTTGATGGGAAACAGGATGCACGATGTTTTACCAAGCACATGGACATCTGCACACTTACTGTCCAATCCTTAAAGATCTGCTACCGCCTTTTGCCACCAAGTACTGAAGTCAGTTTCTAGGCCTACGTTTCTCATAGATCTGTAAAACTTCCTTAATTCATGAAACTGTACACATTTTGCTAAGTATTTGCATTTCCATTTCTGTAATACAAGATAAAAAAAAAAAACCTGCCCCATTCTTGCAGCCGGAGCTCGCCTTTTTAAAGTTTAAGGTTTGAAATCCTGAATGCTAATCATGGCTCACTGCATTGCAAGCACCGTTGCAGCAAATAATCTCCTCAAATTTGGGTCACATTCATTCTGCCAAAAAACATAATGCCTGAAGAATTAGGCTGCAGGGTCCAGTGGGTTGGAATTTTAGAAGCAGTCTGTAAGAATTAGGCTCCTGATCTCCACTGGAACTAGAAGGCAAGTAAGGAGATTGCCTACAAGTCTTTGGGGTTTGCTATCCCTCGGGAGGGTTAGGGTTAGAATTATCTCCAAGAGCTCGGGGCTCCCCGTTGTGAGTCCTGAGCATTAAAAAACAATAATCCTAGGAGTGGGCCTAGTGATTTCTTCTTTAAAGTTTGGCTTTATCACAACAAAATATGGCGACAGAACAGGACTTTTTGTCCTTCTAGAATTCTGAGGGGCTAAGGATCTAAATCTTGATGGACTGTTTATAGTGAATAAGACCAAGCAAGGCACATTTGTCAGAACTTTGATGATATCAGTTACACAAAGTAAGCTTTACTACTTTGTAGTAAGCCTTGGAAGAAAGGCATGGATGCCATTGGAAAAGCAGCCTGGAATCCTGTATTATACAATATATGTGTATATAATTTATGCGCACTTATACAGGCACACACACACACACTTTTAAAATATCATGGGTAAAGTTTAAGGTCAAACTGAATTTAAGCTTCCATGTCATACATTTTTGAAAGATGGGTAATGGGAACCAGGGACACCCACTATACTTTACTTTCTGTGAGGAGCTACTGGGATGGGTGTCCAGCATCTTGTAAACCTTGGGAGTTGCTGTGGTTTGACTTAGCCAGTGCCTTTGCCTGCTGGTCTCTGTGGCCCCTTAGTGCATACATCGTCTGTCTTCTAGTCTCCTTATGCTTTTCAAAGCTCTGTCTGCTAAATGTTTCCAAACAGAGAAAACAAGCGTGAATGCTACCTTACCTGTTGGGTTCTTCCCCCTCACCCCCGGAGTGTTACCTCTGAAACAGTATCCTATTGTATTACTATAAACATGTACAGCTGCCTGCATTTCTGTTAACTGGTAGGATTTTGTGGTCATTTCATTTAGGGATTAGGTTTCCTAATGGCTCGTATTAGATCCCAGCCCTGCATCCGGCCATTTCTAAGAACTGCTGTTATAAGCCCTGACGCGTTCCCTGCTGCAGACAGTGGCAGATAGATAGCTACGTGTCTTCTTGTATGATTAACAAAGTACTTAGTCTTCATCGTTAGAATTGGGAACATCATCTTAGAGGTAGAAAGAAATTCTTCCCATTTCTACATAGCAACAGTTTCTCCTTCCCGGTGTTTCTAAATACCGAGACGTATTTAGAATGGTGAATAATGCATACACAGAATAGAGTTTTGTCTTAGGTATACAGTAGACTTTTTAAAATGTAAAATTAACTAAGCTGTAAATTACATTTTATAATGACAGCCCATTTCTTGCTGGATAGCATGCTGGGATCTAAAAATGGCCTGCAAGTTGAACCCAGATTGCATGCATAACTAACTTTACAAAGGAAAACCCTCATAGACAAGGTAGGTAATTAGGAGCAGTGTTCAGCCGACCTTTGCTTTGTGTCTGAGCAACACCTGCATTTGTGAATGTAAATTGGACAGCTGTGCTGTGGGTCCCTGTGCTCGTCTCGTCGAAAATGCTTGCATATACAGGCAGCATGGCATTGCGGCTAAAAAGAGGACAAAAATAGCCCAACACTTGAAACCGAGGCCCACGAAAATGATCTCTTTAAATTTCATTTGCTTCTCCAGCCTTTCTTTTTCTTTGGGACTCAGTTGGAAAAAAATGTCGTAGTCACCTCTTCTAAAGCTTGTCATTTAAAAGTCAGGTGAGCTCGGTGGAAGCTAAGTTAACCTGTTAGGGTCTATTTTAAACTGAACGTGAATTTTAATTAGGAGTTATTTGGATTGCCACCAGCATGTAGGCATTTTGCAAACTGCTCCTGCTAACATTCTGTGAGAGGCCCATGAGTCACAGCTGTATTCACTTATGGCGTTCAAGCAGCTACAAGTTTATACATTGCAGGATGTCAGCTCTGGGGTGTGTATAGTGTTAATTCATAATGTATCTTATAAAATCCCAATTTCTACAAGGTTCAACTGCTGACTCAAAGACTTTTAAACCAGTGTGGGAGGGGTTTATGTAGACCATGGGCATTGGGTAAACAATGGCATGTCAATCTCATTACTTGAGAAAGGGACAACTTTAATTTTCACCCCTTTTATTAAAAAATAGTGTTTTTCATGCAATATATCCTGATTACAGTTTCTTCTCCCTCTACTCTTTCCAGTTTGTTTCCACCTCCCCTTCCATCCAGATCTACTGCCTTTCTATCTCTCATTAGAAAAGATCAGGCTTCTAAGAGTTAACAACCAAACATAACAAAATAAAATACAAGATAAAACAAAACCCATCACATTGAAGTTGGACAAGGCAACCCAACAAAAGGAAAAGAGCCCCAAGAGAAGGCACAAAACTCAGAGACACACTTTCTTCATACACCCAGGAAGGAGTTCCATGAAAATACTAACCTGAGAGCTAAAGTGTATATGCAGATAGACCTAGAGCAGACCCCTGAAGACCCTGTGCTTGCTTCTGCTTCAGCCTTTGTGGCTTCATATGCTCAGTTGATTTAGAGGGCTTCTCCTGGTATCTTCCATCCTCTCTCTGGCTCTTACACTCTTTCTGCCTCCTCTCTCATGGGGCTCCAGACATGGGGTCAACTTTGCAGAGGGATAATAGTTCACTCTTGTCCAAGCCCCCTTTTGAGGCCACAGTGGAACAGGACTTGAGAACATTTTTATCCTGAAAATTCATAAGGAGTTGGGAGGTTGCAAAGCATCCTTACTATGTCTGCAACAGATGCAGAAACATTGAGTTTAACCTTTATTTTATTTGTTTTATGTTTTCTGTATGTGTATGGATGTTTTGTCTGCATGTATATGTCTCACATCTGGCGTTACAGATAGTTATGAGCTGCCACATGGAATGCTGCAAATTGAACCTGTTCTTTGGAAGAGCAGCCAGTGCTCTTAACCCCTGAGCCAACTCTCCTTCCTGAGTTCAACCCTTCAGTATCAATTTTACTTTGTAAGATAGCAGAGTGCTTAAAATATTTTTTTATTATCCCTCTAAAAAAGAATAGAACAGGGCTGCAAATAGTAGTCTTTTCCACTTAGCATTTATTTAATCTTCTTTTCTTTTCATGGGAAATAAATATCCTGTTGTTTAAACTAGTATCTAGAAATAAATCAGGAAATCAAAACTGAAGCAAAGTGGCCAGTGTAAGCCAAGGATGACTGTTTTCATTCCTTGTTCAAACCTCAAGTTTGTAGTGTTCTGAATGGCATTGGAAATGCAATAAACACAAACTCCTAAGAGCATCGAAGTTTTGCTTCCTAATTTTACTTCCCATGAATGGAGACAGGAATAGATAGTTTCTTCTTCAGGATACGCTGCTCCCATTGTGCCATAGACGCTAGAGATGGAACATTTGCAGATGATGTCATTGTGGTTTCCATGAAGACAGATGCTCTATGGGGGGTTATGTAATAAACATTTATTTTCCTTCCATACTATATCTCTGGATGCATCCCAGTCTTTATTTGAGATCTCTTTTGAGGGACCCATCACTAACTGGAATCATCATTGTGTTATTTGTAGTCATATTTTATTTATATGCATGGTGCTTAGTTTTTTGTTTGTTTTTATTGGTGTTATTTTGCTTCTTTAAAATTAAACTTGAGCATAACCCAAAAAGATTTCTTTGTTTCAGACTTAATTATAGAACCCAGGAGTGTAGAAGAAATGTATAACAATCCTTCTGCTTAGCTACTAATTAACCTGTCCAGTTTTTTCCCTTTAAACACATGCAAAATTTAATTTGTAAAATGGCTATCATTCACAAAGGTTTGAGAAGGACATTAAGAAATTACTTGCAATTAATGTCCTCTAACTGTCTGAAGCTCAGGGCAAAGACTTGATTTTGCTTGGTGCTTGCACACTGACTGGAAAGTGAGACCAGGAGCCTAGGGTTATTCTGCGGATTTCCCGGCTGTTATCTGGCCTAGGGAAGCTTGCAGGATCTG